ATTCTAAAACAAATGCAGGAGGAGCAGGCCTGTATATAAGTAGTAATATTCAGTATATAAAAAGGTCTGACCTTGAATTTAATCTCAATGATGTTGAGTCATGCTGGATTGAACTCCCCAGAGATAAGGACAAAAATATGATCATTGGTAGTATCTATAGGCACCCTTCAAGTGATATTGCTGCTTTCACTGCCTCACTTGAAAGTAAACTTTCTCAATTACAGAAAAAAGGCAATGAAATAATTATCTTGGGTGATATTAATATAAATTTTCTAAATTATAACACAAATGAGCTTACCTCAGACTATTTAGACATGCTTTTCAACCTAGGGTTGATGCCAATTATAATTAAACCAACAAGAATTACTGACCACTCAGCAACTCTTATTGACCATATCTACACAAATATACCTGAAAGAGTCTTGAAATCAGGAATATGTCTTGCTGACATTTCAGATCATTTATCAGTATTCTGCACAATTAAAAGCAAATTGGCTTTTCAAACCACCAGTAGATACTATAGAGATTATTCATCATTCAGAGAGGATTCCTTTCTCAGTGACTTAGATAAGGCAGACTTTAATAAAATGGTTGGCTCTGATGTTAACCACAGCATGACAAAGATTGAAGAAGCCTTACAAATCATTATTGATAAACATGCTCCTATTAGAAAAATGASCAATGCTAAAGTAAAACAGCAAAAAAGGCCATGGATTACTAATGGAATCTTWAAGTCAGTAAAAAACAAACATAAATTATTCAAGTCTCACTTTCTTAGCGGAGACCCCACAAAGGTCCTTTACTTAAAATCTTTTAATAATAAACTCAATAAAATCAAAGAAATTGCTAAAAAAAAGTTATTTTAGCAATCAATTTGCACTTAACAGATATAATTTGAAAACAACCTGGAAACTTATTGGATTGCTCGTAAGCAGGGAAAAAAATCAACACCTTCTATAAACAAACTGATCTTCCAAAATCACTGTTATACTGATAAGCAAAATATTTGTGAGCATCTGAATGACTTCTATGTAAATGTCGGGTCAAATTTAGCTTCAGATCTTCCAATTCATGACTTTGATCCKAGTAGTTATATCTGTCATAAGCCATCTAACAGTTTCATGTTTCGAGCAGTAACTTCTCATGAAGTATATGACACCATTTTTAACCTCAATATTGATAAGTCAGTATAGGACCCCCTCTCAAATGCATAAGATTAGCTGGCCCAAAGATTAGTGAAGCTCTAGCCCTTGTTTTCAACACCTCTATTCAACAAGGGATTGTACCCAACAATCTAAAAGTGGCTAGAGTTACCCCAGTTGACAAAGGTGGTACAGCTACTGATCCTGCTAACTATCGACCTATATCTGTCCTCTCTGGMTTTTCACAAATATTTGAAAAGCTAGCATATTCCCAACTGATTAACTACATCGAAAAGTATGAAATCTTATATGAATTCCAGTATGGTTTTCGTAAAGCAAGATCGACTGAACAGGCTATTGCGGAAACAACAGAATACTTAAAACAATCTATAGACAATAACAAATTCACTTGTGGAATCTTCCTAGATTTTTGTAAAGCATTTGACACTGTTAATCACCACATTCTACTGAAAAAACTAGAAAAATATGGTATAAGAGGTATAGCTTTAGATTGGTTCACAAGCTATCTGACAAACAGAAAACAATATGTGGCACTTGGTGACAMTGAATCTTCAAAACAGACTGTTAAATGTGGAATTCCTCAAGGAAGCTGGGACCTTTACTCTTTTTAATTTACATTAATGATCTGCCTAATTCTTCAAAGTCACTTAAATTTAGAATATTTGCTGACGATACAAATATATTTGCAACTTCAGCCAATATTCATGACCTCGAACAATTAGTAAACTACGAAATGGCAAATGTTAAAGTATGGTGTGATGTCAATAATAAAATCAATTTCACTATCTGGGACTGGCAATAAAAGATTTTCCCTGCCCTCTTGCAGTTCAAGAAGAAAGAAGAGTGAGTCTGGTCTCCCATGCACTGTATCATGTCTGGATTTTCTAATGTAGTGACTGTTCCACTGGTTCTTTACATGGTCACATTCTTCTTGTAAAATATTTGAAAACCAGAACCATAACCACTCTTTGCTTAGCTCGCAACCAGTATCAATATTTCCTTGACTTTCTAAGTCTTTGAAGAAATTCCTCCACCATCCAGAGCGATTTTTGCAGAAGAAACTCCACCACCCTTCAATTCTCTGATTCCTTGGTGAAGGTACATACCTATGTGCATCACCATTATCCCTGAAGTAGCATTGCATTGATGCAGCAAGGCCATTTTCTGTACCCAAATCTGTTATGAATTCAACTGGTACCCCTCCTAATTCACGAACAGTGTTCAAATAATACATTCCTGGGTTATCTGGTGTATTATTAGAGCGGGATACATCAAGCCATAGTATTCTTCGGCTATATCCATCWATACAACCATGTATCGGAAACCCCCATGGTTTTAATTTGTCATAACCATCCATGTGCCATACAAAGTTTGGCCCTGGGTYACTGTATACCCTTCTTTTCAGCCTATGGGCTTTACGAGCTGAAACACCTTCAGGGTCCATTTCTTTTAAAAGTTCTTGGACAACAATTTGGGGGACTCTTATGCCTTTCAGTTCAAGATCATGCCACACAGAACGGTAACCGCCAAGTGATCCTGGTCCATTCAACGTTTCTTGAATGTGCCTCTTAACTTGTTCAATTTTATGCTGGGAAA